AACATATTGATGCATGGGTGACACGTCTTCTAATTATAAGGAAATTGAAGAAAAATATAAAAAAAACGCGATATACAATTATACCGACGTCTTTTCACGTAGTTCACTTGAAGAATCAACGACAGGAATCATATGTGTTGGCTAATGGACAAGCTAAACTTTATCCTGCATGGTGGGAGGTCGATAAGGTTAGTATTTATTTGTTTAAATATTTTAAAGGTGTTCATAAATAAGTGCGCAATTTGAATTATTACATTTCGATGCAGGTGTTTATCCCTGTTTTGGAATGTACTCATTGGCTTCTCGTCGAGCTTCAGCTCCCATCCCTAAAGACAATAGTATATGACAGCATGATAAATTACATATCATTGTCTGATTTGAGAGATATTATTAAGGGATGGAGCTCTCATTTGGCTAAATTCTTGGATGCAATTAATTATTTGACTAATTCTGGAAACAAGAAGCCAAAGAAGTTCAATATTACAGTTATCAGAGACGAGACCGCGCCACAACAAACGAAGGAAGCCAGAGGGGATTGTGGTCCTCTCGTATGCATGTGCTTGGAGCGTTTGACGACAGAAAGTACACAGTTTTTACCTCCCACCGATAGAGATAGAGGTGCAGTAGGCTTGTGGTTTCGGTATTTTATGGCTAGAACGATATATGCGAGACGATGCCTACCTGCATCCGCGTTATAAAAGTGTCCATAAACAATTTGTAAGTCAAATGCAAGTGTTGTTAAACATATATACTTTTTTTTGTTTGAAAATGTTTGGTTAAGTAGCTAAAATTCAATAATTTGCTGTTTGTAGGTTTTAAATGTGTAGAAAGTGTTGTTGATTCAATGTTTGGTTTCTGCAGGTTAATCCTAAAGTGAGCTGCGTGAAATGGATGTATGGGTGCAAAAGTTGATTCAATAATTGATGAGGAAATAATTCTTATTATTATTTTTTGATTGTTTAATTGATATGAAAAAGATGATTTGTAAATGTTGATTTGTTTAATTGATGTGTACATAATTATTATTTGTGCTTGTTTAATTGATTGAAATGTAATAGTTGATTTGTTGATTTCAATCTGCATTATGTTGAATGCAAAACAGACTATCGCAACGCAGAAATGACTATCGCAACGAGAGAATCGCAATGCGAAATGAAAATCGCAACGAGAGAATCGCAATACGAAAATGAAAATCGCAACGCGAAACTAAATTCGCGTTGCGATTTTCATTTTTGCATTGCGATTCTCTCGTTGCGATTTTCATTTCGCATTGTGATTCTCTCGTTGCGATAGTCATTTCCGTGTTGCGATAGTCATATTCGCGTTGTGATTTCCGCGTTGCGATAGTCAAATGAATGTCTAATAAGTGATAACAACTGAACATATCATAGCAATGTTCAAATTCAAGTTACTAATACATGCCTAACTGAAAATGTTAAAAGTCACACATAATATACACATAATACAACATTTGCATTTAAAAATCACCTAAGTTAACAGTCCCAAAAGGTGAAGTTGGTTGTGATTGGGATTTTGATGAGGATCCATATTTTGGTAGAGGAAAAGATGATTGTGATGGCACTGGTGATCCACATGTCAACCTTGTATGACCACTTTCCTTGCACCGACTACATGTCGATCTCTTCTTCTCTTCACCTTTAGACGGTATACGATCGTGACTTTTTGGTCGGCCAGGTAGCCTTCTGTCCATAGCTGGTGGCAAAACTGTTTGTAAGTCATCTGGTATGTCCCACTCAGAAGGATGTGGAATAGGGTAGACAATCTCGACATAAGTCTGTCGATATACTTTTGTAGTGTAGCAATCCATAGCGTATGCGCTTGAATCATCTTGGTTTAGATGAAGAGCAACTTTTATAACATGGTCACACGGATAACCAGATGTTTTCCATTTCATACAACTACATGTCTTTGCATTTAGATCGACAAGCCCATTTAAGTTATTATCCAGTACTTCAAACAAAGTGTTTGAACATGGTTCAACTCTCCATGACGTTGACTTCACAACACGTTTCGTTATCTTTTTCGGGAATGACGACTTAGAGCGTTGATTGATTCTGCACTATTAGACGTCATGAAACCATATCTTGCTCCAAGTTGATGTACTCTTAACCATCTTTCAAACCTGTCATCTTCTAGTGTTTGAGCACACTGAGGCAAAACACGTCTTAAGCAGTTTATATGCTTATTAAAATCCACTTCTCGATAAGCTTTTACAGCCTTCCAGTATGTCCATTTGTGAATTTTTATACCAGCAGACCTTGATTTTAAATTTCTATACAAATGAACACCACAAAGTCCATGAAAAGCATCTGGGAAACACCTTCTAACAGTTTTGTCAATTGAGTTTGCCCTATCGGATATGATTGTCAGATTGCTAATAGGACCTATGCAATCCCTAAGATGCCCCATAAACCATGTCCATAAATCAGAGGTTTCAGATTTGCAAACCTCGTAAGCTATTTGCAGTATCCCATTGTTAGCATCCATGGCTACTGCTAATAAGTTTACTCCAAGGTATCGACCTTTTAAATGTACTCCGTCAACTATAATAACTGGGCGCATGCAAGTAATAAACGAACGAATCTACAAAAGCATATACACAAGAAATATAATCATTTAAATGTGAAATGCATGTAACTAACAAAAATGAGTCAACAAAATTATATTGATTTACTAACCGCAGCACCAATGGCGATAAACAGCAACTCAAAGCGTCCATCTCTATCTGTTTGATATGATTACCGACCCAGGATTTTTCAGCTTTAAATTGTGACAATAAGCCGGCAGTTGGGCAAACGATGCTTCTGGCGACCCCCTCAACAATTCCAAGGCATAACATTTGGCTCTCCAAGCTTGAGAATATGAGATACTAATCTTGAATCGAACATTCATGTCAGTCATAATTTCATGTCCCCGATATACCATGCCATTTAAAAACATTAACTCAGTCAGAAAACCACCCAACACCTTTTTGTTTGTCTGTCTATGGTGAGGAAAAACTTGGGTTCTTGAACATGTATGTTTATCAATAAAAGTCTTAACTTGAAACATTTCGCAATCTTTTATCCTCTTTGCAATCATACGCCACGTACAGTTTTTGTCAATCATACACCTTGTTTCGAAACGATCTTTGCTTGATTTGTTAACTTTTAGTTTATATTAATCTTCCACACATTTCTTATACAAAGCTATCTTCAAGTCTTCTTTTGTATCAAAACAATCATCTTTCTTGATACGAATAATTTTTGTGTAACAATCAACTGTTATCTTTACCAACTCTTCTTCCGGTATCTGAAGTAATTCTGGCATATTCCAGTTATACTCCCGTGGTATTTTCTTTGGGGACTTTTCTTTGGGGATTTCTTCTTCTTCTTTTTATTCTTCAGGGTTATATGAATTACAGAATAGATGTTCAACATGTTCATTTACAGTCGTAACTTCCTCCTCATTATCATCAACATCTTCCTCGGCAACGGCTGTTTCATCATCAAAATTCGGGTATTGACCAATATCAAAATCATTACACACAGGGTCTGTTTCTTCTTCTGAAAAATCATCAAAATCCGAGTATTGACCAAGATCAAAGTCCGGGTATTGACCAAGATCAAATTTCGAATACTAACTACTCACAATTTTTTTTGTTGGCTCATCATCGTCTAACTGGTCAATACGAAAATCAGAATTTGGTGCTGAAAGTTGATTGGGATTTGGATTAGGGAAAGGTTGTGGGTTTTGAGATTGTGTTTGGTATTAGAAATGTGGTGAAACAATATTTGCTTGGTGATGAAATTGTAGTGGAACCATTAAATTTTGAGCACCATAAACTGGGGTTGAAAAACTTAATTGATTATTACCCGCTACTGATCCAACTTCACTACTTCTAGGTTCAACAACATACAATGTAACATCATCACTTGAAACACTAATGTAAACAATGAATCGTTCAACATCTTCATTGTCGGTTAACAAATAAACTTTGACATTTCTCTGATAAGATAGCCTAAATCCACTTAGGGGCTCTAAATTCAATTTATTTGCAACACGTAACATTAGAGTTTCATAAGTCAACTTTTTTAATGACAGTTTTAGTTGAAGATTCATGGGTAAAGGCATATATTGTAAAACACCATGAACATTCTCCCATGACCCTCCAAAACACAAATCTATCCAAACATGATCAACATTAGATGATTTCATTATTATAAATTAATTTACTAAACAAACGAGCTGCGAAACTAAAACCTGTTGCCGGATGGGGAAGGATGTCGTTGGATATAGGAACAGATGTCGCCGGAGAGAGTGATATATGAAGATGGAATGAGTTGCGATTTAGGTTATGAATTGCTGCTGCTGCGTAGTTATATACCCAAAACATTTGTGTTGCAAAACTAAAACCTGTTGCGAATTCAGAAATCGAGTTGCGAATTTGAAATTCAGTATTGCGATAGTCAGAATCTCGTTGCGATAGTCAAAATCTCGTTGCGATAGTCAGATTCGCGTTGCGATTTACGTATTCGCATTGCGATTTACGTATTCGCATTGCGATTTACGTATTCGCATTCCGATTTACGTATTCGCATTGCGAATTAGGAAAATCGCAACGCGAATTTGGAAAATCACAATGCGATAGTCAGAATCGCGTTGCGAATCTGGAAACTGATTTGCGATACCGGAGATCACGTTGCGAATTATCGATTGCATTGCGATTTAATTGGTCATTTTGACAAATCCAAAAAAAGTTGATTAAAATCGTATTTATAAAGCATTTTTGGTCACTGAGGTTATTTTCTCTTTTGTAAATAGATTTCTACAATCCCTTATTTTAAGGGATCATATCCTAGGATTATTATTTTTTCTTTCTTAGAGTTTCCTATTTTAGAGAGATATTTTGTATATAAATATATGTAATTTGGCATATTGAAAAGAATAAGAAATTACAGAGAATTACTCTGATTTCTACACTAATAAATATGCTCGTCATGTTGGAAACGTTTCTGCTTGGTAAAATGGATAATTAGATGACTGAACATGTCCAACAGTAAGGTGGAAGGTTACGCCACAATGACTTTACCTTTATTTTGTTTACGAAACTGATTGCTTCGTCAAATTCAACAGTCTTTTTAGGAAGAGCCTCTTCCTCTTCAAGGGTTATTTCATAGCCCTTTGGCAGAAAGGTATTAAATCCATAAATCAAGTTGTTATGCCCTCGGAATAATTCTTTTACTCGAGCAATGACACCAACTGTGTCAGTTCTGCATAAGAAAAATGAGACATTGAATATTTGGAAGTTCAAAAAATGAATTCATTATTCATCGACAAAATGTTTCCATTTCAAACCAAGATACCTTTGAGCCTTGAAATCCTTCATGACTTCAAGGAACATGTCGTACTTCTCCTTTTGATCCTGAAACATCTCCTTGACTTCCTTTAGATACATCAAGGCATCACTTGTAGTCAATTTCTGTGGCGTACTTCCCCCTCCTGCACCCATCTCTCCCATTGCTCCACTTCCATCACCTCCTCCTCCTCCACCACCGCCGCCACCTCCACCCAGCATTTGGCTTTGCTCATAGCTTCACAAGGTGAAAATAATAAGATTTCAGAATTACAACCAGTTGAACAACATCAATAGATAACTTGAAAAAATTGTGTTAAGCCTATTTTACTTTTCAATAGATGATTAGTGTGAAAAAAGGTCCGAAAGTTTTCATCAAAATAGAAGTAAATTTACAGAATATCAGAAAGTCAAGTGATATACCATTCTTAGAGTCCCATAATCAGAAATCCTAAATGATTCAAACAAAACATGACAAGTAAAAAACGTGATAAATCACTCAATTCAAGTGGGGAATAAAACAAATCCACATCCAAATTCAACAAAAATCCCTGACAAACCTCACTAAACAAAAGGAAAACATCTTACCATTCAGCTCTTGAAGAACCAAATGGACGTTTAACTTGGGAACCGGAACATGTATCATCTCTTATTCGCTTCATCCTGCAAACAAGGAGAAATAAAAAAGCAGTTACTTTATTTCTTGCGTTTTTCCTTTTTTTGTTATGGTTGTACAAAAGATTAAAAAACAAAAATTGAAGGGATAGAATATGTAGCAGCAGGAGAAGAGGTGAAAGGCAAGTCAGAAATGGTTTTATGTTTGGTTCATTGCAATTCGATTTTGAGTATCAGTAGTGTTCTGAGTTTGGACACAGGCTTTTTAGCACTTGTGTTGTTTGGTAAAATGTGTTTCGTTCTTTATTTCGGTTGTTTCCTAGAGGGAATTTTTACCCTTCCAGGTAGACATGCACATAAGCCGAATTTTAATTCGATTCGGATCGGTTTTTATTCGATCTGATTTTTTTTCATAGACAATAAACTGGTTTATAAAATAATCGGTTCGGATTTTAATCGGTTTAGAGGGCCGGATATCCTAACCAGTGTAACCGGTTTCGATTTGAAAAAAACCGATTTTTTTAAAAAACCGGTTATAAAAAAACCGATTATAATATTATTAAAATTACATCGTCATCAATTGCAACAAAGTTTACGATAATTGAAATACTTAAATACTTCCAAGTTCGATAAATTCAAATACTTAAAAACTTCCAAGTTCGATAATTGAAACAAAGTTTACGATAATTAAAATAAAGTTTAAAAATAAACTACATTGCCATCTGTTCTTCATCATCTTCGCCTTCTTCGTTTGGAGGGTATATTCCAAGTTCGACTTCTTCAATGTGTAAGTTTGCTTTCAAATCGGCATCAATTGCATCTTCTAGGGTTGTGATATATTGCTTCCGAGCCGCTCCATCCAAATAATCCTTCAAACAAATGCATATTTTCACCGACTCGGGACTTAGTCTTGATCTCCGTTGCGATATAACCCTGTCACTAACAGAAAAGCAGATTCCGAAGCTACCGTAGAAGCTTGGACGGTTAGTAAATAACGGGCCATGGCGGCTAGAATTGGAAATTGTGCTTCCTTTTCTTTCCACCAAACCAAAATATCCAAACTTTCAAACTCTTCAAATGTCATTTTTGATAGAAAATCACATGACATATAATTTCCCAACTCGCTACTTGGGGTGGTAGTACGTGATCATTTAGATTGGGAATTTACAAGAGTGTTAAAAAGATTCAAATTTATGTTACTTGGACGTCTACTAGATGATTCCGCATTCGTTCTCATTTGATCGTGTATTACACTACTTTATCCGTATTTAGTTAAATAAATTGCAAACATGTTTCGAAAACATTTGTTAAAATAATTTATTTGGTTTTGGACAAAGTTGAGTTCATCATCGGTTAGATTAAAAGCAAACGCAATTTGTTTAATTAGTGTTTCAACCCCGCCAACATTTAACGTTGGGTTTAAAGCGGCGACACAAGTAAAAATGGGGGGAATCTCCTTAAAATATTTTAAAAGTTTTTCCTTCATTGCAAAGCAAATTTCTTGAAAAACTTCGGTTTCAAATTCAAAGTCATTTAGTCGGGTAGCCAACAAAAATATTTGATTAAGAACCAACGGGCTAGTAGGGTAATAAACACCGGATAAAAAAGTTGTTGCATTTTTAAAACCCCCAAGCAAATCGGTTATTTTGGCTATAGTTTCCCAACTCGAATCCGGATAAATGTTTGGGACATGACCCTTCTCGAAAAGCCGATCGTGAAATGTTTGCAATGTTTCCCTTTGCCTTAAGGCGGAATGCATCATCATCCAAGTTGAGTTCCAACGAGTTTGACAATCCAAATTAGGACCCAAAGCTTTTTTATTAACCGACTTACAAAATCGTCTATAATCATTTAGTCTTTTGTTGTTGTTACAAAGAACCGATTTTATCATTGTTTTAAATTCTAATCTAATCGGGTCAATAACCTCCAAACCGGCTTGCACGGATAAATTAATTATGTGTGCAACGCAACGAGTATGAAAAAACGCACCGTCTAAAATCGGTGAAAGTAATATTTTCAATCTTGGAACCGCGTTTGTATTATTCGATGCATTATCAAATGATATAGAAAAAACTTTATTTTCTAATGTATAAAGACAAATTACCCTTTTTAAAAGTGTAAATAAATTAGCACCGGTATGCGGCTCACCGAATAATTCAAACGCGATTGTTCTTTTCATCATTTGCCAATTATCTTGATCTAACCAATGTGCCCTAACGGCTAAAAAAGAATTTCCGGTATTATGAGGGGAACTCCAAACGTCACATGTAAGCGACACACCATAACGGTGTTCTTGGAATCCTAAAATCATTTTTTCCCTCGCCGTATGCCACATTTTTATAGCATCTCTTCTAAGGGTAGTACGACTTACTTGAGTATAACGTGGTTGCATTAGTTGTTGAATTGTTGCCGTGAAATCTTCATCATCAAAGTGGTCGAATGGCAATGCTTTTGTAATCACGAATTTTGTAAACGTTTCTCGTAATTTTTCGTTGTCGTAAACAAAAACACCACCTTGCGGTGTAAGATTCGATTGACTTGGATCCGATCTTGAGCGAAGTGCCTTGCATGATTTTGTCAAATGGTTCTTCAACGTTGTGTTTCCTTCTGGTGCAAGCAACTTTAGACAAAGTTTACAACGCGCCCTCCTCGAGCCATTTGACATCTCACATAAATCGTAATGATCCCAAATATCTTTGTTTTGAGTGTGTTCGATCACTCTTACGACTTCAAGGTTTCTCCCGACGGAAGATTCAGCCGTGTTACTCATGATGAACAAAAAATTACAAAAAAAGATTTGAGAGATGTTTAGGTGTTGTGTAATAAGATTTGAGAAAGTTGTAATCAACCAAATACATCCCCAACCTATTTATACATGTTTAGGGTGGTAAAATGATAATTTTTTAAAGAAAAAAACGGTCACAAAACCCCCTCAACGGCTATATTAACGACTAGTTTTTTAAACCCAGACCGTTTTATTTTTTCGGATAAAAACCGGTTTTTTAACCGGTTTTTTTCAAACCGGTTTTTTATCTGGTAAAAAAACCGGTTAAAAAAAATCCGATCCGATTAAAAAAAACCGGTTTTCCCCAAATCCGATTTCGAATATTTTTTTGCACAAAATTGGATATTCGGATTTTTTGTGCACCTCTACTTCCAGGTCTCCAAACTAAACTATAGGCCCAACGAGTCTCTCCCCCCTTTTGGTTTGGGAATTAGGGTTTTTAGATACGTTTATTTTCATATGATCTGAAGGTGTTTATTTAATTATAAATAAACAAAATTAAACTTTTTATTTTATTTGATTTAATCATTGATATTTAATTTATTTTCCGATTAATTTAGATTAGATTACGGAATGCAGGTGTTTATAATAGATTTCTCTATTTATGGGGGAATATCTCATGTACGACAGTCTTAATATACGGCTAGGAAAAGACGTTACCAGAACCATTATTATTTTTTAACATTTTCGATAAAGCGCTACCTAAAATATTATTATTTTTTCTACTGAAAAAGTTATTATTGGGCGCTACTTAAAATGTTTAACATTTTTGGTAAAGCGCTACCTAAAATATTATTTTTTTTCTACCGGAAATGTTAATATTGGGTTTTACCGGAAATTAGTTAGCGAAAATAAAATTTTCGGTAAAAAGAATAATATTTTAGGTAGCACTTTACAAGAAATGTTAAAAAATAATAATATTTTAAATAACGTAATTCTTTAACTGTATATTAAGATTGACGTACAACAAAACTACCCTATTTATGGAGCATGAGAAAATGATAAAGTTAATGATAAAATCTTTGAAAATTGTATATATTGCATGATGGTATATTGTTTGTATTTATCTTAAAATTATGAAAAATATTGGTATAAAATAATTTCATATTATAAATAATTGTGTAAGCGACCATTCAACTATTTAACTCTTTTATTTTTATCACTGATATTTCAATTTTATTAATTAAAACATATAATTATTTAATTATTATCAATCAAATTATTTTTCGTTAAGAGGTGACGTAGCAATTAAATATTTTAATATAATTATATGTTTGGCCTCTTTTATTTATATATTTTATCAACATTATTCTATATTTAATAAATTAAAATAAATTTAATCTTATAATAAAATGAGAGACAATATCCCCTTAACAGTATAAATGATTTTGTAGACGACACTTTGCACTGAAGATCCTGGAGATTTTACAAACCCCAATACCCCAAATGTATTATCAGAGATTAGAAAGCTTTTTGACAGTGGTAAATAACTAAATATCTGCAATAATTGAACATAGAGAGTCCATCAAGCATGAGTTCCAGAGGTTTGCTACCACGATGGATTTTTCTCTTTGAAATTTAGGGTAAAAGGAATCGGCGATTTAAGATTTTAAATTGGTTTTTTTATTATAAAAACGATCTTATTTGATTGAAATAGTATTATTTATCTGTTCATGATGTTTCAATCAAGACAATAATATCTATATCATCATATTGTTAAGGATTTAACGATGAAGTTACATAACTAAATATAAAATTAAACTTTAATATTATAATTGAAGAAATTAAAAGTTTAATAATATAATCGAAGATGACTTTGAGGGACCTTAAAA